GCCAAGTTCTCAGTAACCTCGTGAACTACAAGTCTTTTGGATTTACGAAAATCATCCCTCGTATTCCCGAAGGCAAGTTTGCTGCTGTGGTAGAAAAGTCAGCCAATGCATCAGAAGCACTATTGCTCTGGAACGAGGTAACAATCAGGCTGCGCCACGTTCCCAACTGTTATGCTCAGGTTGAACTTTCATTCAGTTGAGAGGACACATCTACCAATTGATCCCTGAGTCGAGCAATTTCATTGGGAAGCGTCGTGAAGGTCACGTCTCTAATTACTACCTTGGGGAGCCTATTTTGGACGATGAGGTGGCCGCTGTTCAGGCTACCGCGGAGAAGCTCGGGATTGACGTTCTCAATACTCGGTAGACATGTCAAATCCACTGGTCAAATTTATCACTGACACAACCTACAGCGTGCAAAAAGATGGGCCTAACAGGTTCGCTCTACTCGTTGCATCCGCCAACTCTAAGCCTCCGTCACTGCATGACATCGAAGCCCTGGGCAAGGGTGTCCAGCTGACCGTCGAATATGGCGATTTCGCTGAACCCTTGAAGAAGGCGAGCGCTGCGCTAACGGAGGTATGAGCCACGTTGTCGTAGATCCGAGTATCGCTCAGACGATTGTTAGGCGAAGAAATATGCCGCCAATGACCACCAGGCAGCTATGCTCGATGGATACATCAAATCGTGAGTAGCGTATTGCGTCACGTACCACGAGCTGATGTTCACGAATTGTCAGCTTCGAGACTGGCTCGATTGAAGCTCACAAGAAGGGTTCAACTGAATGGGTCAAGGACGTCGGTCCTGTGGTTGAAAGCTACATCGGTTTCATTGAGACTTACGTAGACCCATACGGCGGCCGCGCTGAGTGGGAAGGTCAATATTCCATTGATCCACCGCTTTCTACAGGCGCGTTGACCGCGAACTTACACGAACAGGGTTCACCGCCATCGTGAACAAGGCGATGAGTGCCAAGTACGATACGCTTGTCGCAAAAGCTCCGGAGCTACTCGAGGTGCTACCGTGGGGCAAGGACTTCGAGGTTGACAAGTTCCGAAAGCCCGACTTCACCGCCCTCGAGATCTTGACGTTCGCCACTGGCGGTAAGTGAACACCTGCACTCCCCGTGAGAAGCAACTAAAGATCGACTCGCCAAGGCATTCCCGCTGGCATTAACGTACGTCTTCCAACTCTGCAGTCGCTATTCATCGTGCCTCATGTCGCGGACGATAGATACCGGTGAGACTAACCATTCACATGCCACATTCCAATCTGGTGCTTATAAAGCATCCAGAACTACTATGAGATCCGCGAATCTGTCGGTTTCAAAAACGTTTCGCTAGCGGTATGTCTCACGCACCTATATCATGCAAGCGGCGTTCAAATCGCATACTGCAGAATGTCCTTGCTGCAAAGGCACCTAGTAGGTAACAGCCACCGTTCAAACAACAGGATCTCACGGAGAAATACGCGGATAGATGAGGAGTTGACGTTTATACACCCGGACGACGTCGACCTGTACAACGCATGGGACTCCCGTGCGTTCGAGTTGCAGGTGGCTAACCATGAGCTGCTCGGCCACGGTAGCGGCAAGCTGTTCCAGGAGAATGCAGATGGCACGAAGAACTTCGACACCTCGAAGGTACGAATGCGCGCTCAGTTATCCTATGAACAGACCGGACTGATCAGACGGACCCAGGTCACTAATCCACTCACTGGTAAACCGATGTGAGTTCAGAGGACTATTGTTCCAGATTTGGCTGAGCTGAACGTCACTGCCAAGCACGTCGTGGTACAAACCTGGCCAAACACCCGGTTCTGTTCTCGGTGAAGTATCGTCCTCGATGGAGGAATGCAGGGCCGAAACGGTGGCACTGTACCGTCAGTACTCGTTGTTCTATTGGGCCCATCTTATTGACATGGCCGCCGTACAGTTGTCAGTGAACCCCGGATCCTTCAGATCTTCAACGTAGGTCGATAGAAGGCTACGCACGCCCACGAATGCTGACTCGTTGTTCTCTAGTACACGGACCAAAAGGATGTCGAAGACGTCCAATACATCACTTTCCTGTTGATGGCCCGCGCAGGCCTGCGTGCCCTTGAGTTCTACGACCCGGCTTCTAAGAAGCACGGGCAGGCACACATGCAGGCCCGGTAAGTAGCGATTCCCCCGTCCCGCGGTGTTCTCTTGTGCTCACTGACGCATCCCAGCCTCGGTATCACGCAGCACCTGATCAAGTCAGGCATCGCACGGCTCGAGGAAGTCCGCGGGGCCGACGGCACGCTGGAGGACCTCTACATCAGGGTACGCCCCTTCTCATCATTCCGCACACGCCACGGTGTTCCTGACTGCGCGGTGCGTGCAGGTGGATAAGGACAAGGTGCTCACCCACGGCCGTGAGGTCGCGGGCAAGCTTCTCGTCGAGCTGCAGGTGCGGAAGAGCACTGCGGACGGCCCTGGCGCGCGCAAGTACTACACAGAGCTGACCACGCCCCTGCCCGGGTGGGAGGGCGAGATTCGGGACTTGGTCCTCAAGAAGAAGCTGGTGCGTGCCTGGTGCCGGTGACGAGGCTCGAGCTTTGTATGCAGCATCGTGCTGACATACCCCTAGCCCCGCAAGATCTTCGTGCAGCCGAACACTTTCATCGAGAACGACGAGGTCGTGCTGAAGGAATATCCCCTCACTCTCCCGGGCGTCATTGAAAGCTTCATCGAGAGGCAGCTCTGAGTATCGATGGCAACGGCGCGGTTAGTACTTGACAAGTGCAATGCTAGTTACTGCCTTTCTGTTGCATCAGGGTGATACACTGTCGGGCAACTGGGGTAGGTGCATGGTCGGATATATTCAATGAGAATTACGGGATGTGCAGTTTAACCAATGTACAATACAATGTCAGTGCTAGGAGGATATCATGTCCACGTCTGAATAGCAGTGTTCATGGTGGTCGTATGCATACCTATGACTGCGGGAAATACTCTACGATGTGATCCGGTAAGAATGATGTCTAGGACGATGGGGATCAAAGCTAGAACGTCTCCTTAACCAAGGCTACTACTACCGTAACGCTAAGCTGGGGGTCAGTGGATGCTCCGGGAAAGAATTGGAGGATACGCACTCATCTTCTTTCTGCAAGGGAGTAACATACATCAGGACTGAAATCAATTGCACGCAACAATATACGTACTCCACCACGGAAATACATCCCCTCCCGTGCGGCTGCTCGCTCGAACGGACTCGCGCGATTCTTCTTCTTCATGCATGCCATAGCGTACTCAACTAATCGCTCAGCGATGGTTTGCACGAGCTGGTCATCTGACAACTACAAGCATGGACTGTGAGATACGGTCATGTCCAACGAGCGTGACATACATCTTGAACAACCTGCTTTTCATGTAGACCATCCTCCTGCTGAGAATTTGATATTGGGATGGACGGGGTGAACTGGCGCGAGACAAGGGTGCAGATGGTGCTCATTTCTACCGGGAATACGTTATCCGACAGACCATCCGTCTACGAAGAACGGAGACATCAGTCCATTGAGGTCATGTACCATGTTACGGATATACTCACATATGCAATAACAATATCCCCATCGCGCAGTTTTGTTTCGTAGGTATCAGCCTCGCGAGGTGAATCGATAACGGCACGCGAGAAGCCAGGTACCCCTTTTGGCAGCTTGGATAACTGTCTGCGGCAAGTCAATACGGGGTGAAGAGCCGTTGGGCCCGTGAGCTTACTTTGGACAATTGAAGAAATGTTGTTGTGACCGCTGTTGATAGAGCACGTTCGACGAGCGGAATATTGAGAAGCCACTGTCCCCCAAGCTGCATACACATCTTCAGTGGTGCAATCAGTCGAAGGAAGCATCGCACGTACTTTGCACTACGAAGAACACCGGATGCAGTGTTGAACGTAAGGAAGCAAGCGGTACTAGACCCTGATACACGTAAGAGGGAAGCGCTTTCAGCCCGTCAGCGTTCACAAGGGGCATGGAGTGAAGTTGCTTACCAGCTTTGACATCACGTTCGCGCAGAACGCCTCCGTAGGCGAGTTCCAAGCACTCCGCTGGGCTCATCTCCCACCCTTCGACTTGCTGATTCTCCTCCGAATCTTGGATAGGATCCGTCTCCGGCTCCCCGGACCATGAAGACTTGGAGTAGCGATGTGCGTGGTACATCAATGCCTGTGAGAATAGTGATGGGTCCACTCCGGAGTCGACCCAGCCTCCGACACCGTCTGCTACGCCGAACGACACGCCCTGATAGAATAGACGCGTGTTGGAAGAGCACATACGAGGGCGAATTAGAAAGATAGATCAACCTGAAAGGGGCTCACCTACCGACTGATTGCGCATCTGAAGTCGCGGTCATTATTCAACACGCATACGAGAGGCCATAACTTGGTACGCTTACATCCTGCACGTAGAAGAAGTCTTCACCGATGTGGTTCCCCACAGGCGAGTTGTACTTCGATAATAGATTCTCCTTCCACCTGCCTATCTCGCTGTCCGGCGCGAACGGCTTCGTCTTGATGCGGCGCATCTGTGGGTCTGGCGGTTTGCCTGCCCAGCTTGCTCCGACGTGAAAGCGGTATGGCCTAGGCAGCGAAGAGTATGCACGGCGCGCAGATTTGAGCAGTAAGCAGGTATTTCTTGTTGAACTTTTGCTAAGTGACATAATACTGAGGGTTTTGTGGGTGGCGAATAAGGGGCAATGGATGGAGAGTGGCTTGGGATGAAAGACTTTGCACAGCGAAACGGACGCGCGCGACTTTGGGCGCCTCGTAACGCGACATCATCGGCACGTGCCTAGAAGCCCCAATCGGCCTGAATTATGATACTTCACGTACCTTCCACCCTGATCTAAGTATAGTGTACAGCAGGCCTCGTTGGAAGCCGCATACGCAAATTCACAAGAGGTTAGCCGTACCTTGTAACAATTCCCTTGTAAACAATGTTCCTTCTGCGATCAATATTCAAATTAGCGCCCTTCATAATAAGGGCGGTTGGCACAGTTGGTAGCGCGCACGCTTCGCATTGTTGCATATGCGTGAGGTCCAGGTTTCGAATACCTGATCGTCCATTTCATTTTTTTTATATGTACATTGTCAGTGCCACGATGAGCATCAGCGACGGCCCATCGACTATCGTGATCAGTGACCAAGGCCTTTGCACGATGCGAGGCATAAGTCGAACATCGTGAATACTCTCACGAAGGTAAAAGGATAAGTAGGACAAGAAGAATACAATATCGTGCTACAAGTATGTTACGGTGCTACTGAATGGCAGCATAGATACAAAAAAGTCCATGGCCGTCCGAGTCCTAATATCACGATGTACGCTCGAGGTTATCTTACTTGCGCCAAGCTGTCCAATCAAAAGACGCAGATGTAATAGGCTTTGGCTTTGGCTTAGATTTAGCGGACGTGGGTTTGCTGGAGAGAGAGGTAGGCTGTATAACGTTCTTCAGTGTAAGCGTGCTAGTGGGTCTGAAGCCCGCACTGGAGTCAGTCCGCTTGCTAGCAGCGAGCAGCGCTGGGTCGAGCGTCGCTTGGATTCTCTTCGCATTGGGAGTTACTAAGGCGGGCACTCGCCGTCGCGCGCTGCGCGCTGCCTGGGCACGAAATTCGGGAGGCAAGGGAGGTATGGGGAGCTGGGAAGCGGGAATCAGCTTCTTCGCGGTCGTTGTTGGCAAGGATAACTTGAGAGACAACGTCGACACACGTGGCGCGTCAGCGCAATTGCTGAGGGTACGTTTGGCCGGGACAGAGGACGCTACATATGGCTGTCGAGTTAGCACTTCCGGTAAAAGAGGGCATCGAAAGGTTAGGCTGCACGCACATGAAGCCTGAACCTTTGAAGTGGCCCTCGTCTTCTCGGTTGACTTCGACTTCGTGGGCCTCGCGAACGGATTTGATGAGACCTTCCGCTCCGCCTCGCCCGAGGATTCGGCGGTGTCACTCACAACGACAGCGGCGCGTGATACTTGTCGCTCCTTCAAGCTCGCATGCATGGCGGTCACCGCGGTCTTCACCTCCGCACGCTCACGAATCCCGTCTGCGGAGAGCGTACGCTTGTCCGCTAGCGGCGGGTCGAGCTTGGCCTTCTTCCGCTGAGCATCTGCAGGCACCTCGGGCGAAGGCAACGAGCTCCACGCAGGCGGGAAGCGGAAGAGCATGAAAGGTTTGTCTTCGGGTTTGCAAGCGTGCTTGGGATCGGAGGGCCTTGCTGCTCGACGGACGCGGGAGGCGGGTTTGGGTTGTTCGTAGAACCTCATGGCGGATATGCGCCGGGCTCCTTGAAGACCTTCCCGAGCTGCCGCGGCCACGGCATTCCGATGTTCGCAGGCCCCGTCGTTGGCACACCCTGAACAGTCGCAGACGATGTCAAGGAGGACCTGATCGTCCGACGAATGTCTAGAGGTACTGGGTGTAGCCATGCCAGTGGTCCTGTTCCTCTGGTGAGCGGGGGGAGGTGGTGACGTAGCATCACGTAGCGGCGGAAGGAAAACGTCCCGTCGAGTACCTATTGACGGTGAGACATCTACTAGGTTTATCGCGCGAAGGCTGCGGCGTTCTGCGACAGATAATTTCCCGTGTTCCAGCCCAAGCACATTTAGGAGATAGGGGCGTGGATGCGAATACAGGGGGCATTGTTCCTTGGAAGCAATTGTCTCCAGAGCAGAGAGCGCCTCCGATAGAGTGGCAGGATAGAATAAGTGGGCGTCATCGCAGTCCCTAAAGTACTTCGCCTTGCTGGATTTGCACCGGGTTCCTCTGACATCTAATAATGCCATCATCAATCTCTCAAAAAGACACCAATGTGAGCGAGTGAAACACATACCGACAACCGACAGCAGCGGGAAGAGCGGGAGATGATCAAACACTTCGCTGTCCACGTTCATACAATTGCGCAGGCTGAGGATACGCAAGCCCCACGGACCGCGTCGGCTGGCGCCAGGCGGCATGTATACAGCATCTTCATCGTCAGCAGTGGTCAACGTCTTCGCGAAGACCTTGATGGCCCACGCGCTGAGTGCGGTCCCGCTAGCATCGAAGGCGCAGAGGGAGTGCATGTCCTTCAGCAGCACAATGTTATCGTCTGTGAGTTCTTTGCATGTAGGGAGTGCTAGTGTTGTGACAAGCGCGAAGTCTGCGGTGGGTGGTATGCGCTGAAGCAAAGTAAGGTGACGGTCGCCAAGTGGGAGCGTGTATGAACGGAACTGAGGTGGGAGGCCGCGATAGATTTGTGCGAGTAATGCCCAAAGACGGGGATCAACCAATCTTATATCCAGCGGGTTGTGTGCTCGGTATGAAGGAATGAGCTCACGTAGTATGTCGTGTGCATCGGGGGAGTCCGGTGGTCTGTAGGTCAACCTTAATGGACCCAAAGCATGCACCTGATCCGGGTAGTCGAGAAGAGTTTGGACACAGAAGTAGGTGAGAGAAGGCAGATGGGTCAGCTTCCCGTGTTCTTGGGCAGCAATTTCGTACGGGGCGGCTGTCCGTGACGCCTGGGGAAGCGTACTTTTGAGGATGGTGATGCCTGCGTCGTCAGAAGTACGCGTTTGGCGGGGCCGCCATAGGCGAATGGGTCTACTCATCGACAGAGAGCCAGGAGTCTCAGCGGGTAATCGAAGGTAATCGAGCAACTGACTGAGCGTTCCATGCGCGGAGCACGTTGTAAGGAAGAGAAGACGGCGGACGCGTGGAGGCGCGCGTTGTCGCCGTCGTTTACCTTCTCACGAGGCCACAACACGATCATGTGATCGTGACTGACAGCCTGCGTTAACGTTCTCGCCCACCCGAGGTCGCGCCACCAAGTTCTTTCTGGTCGGTTTTTCACATGGTTAGACTCCGTTTAAAAGATAGATGTAGAGCTGCCCATATCCTATGTGATTGAGATACCTTCTCTTAGGGCATCCCCCATGCATATTCTACTGAGTCGTTGTTCGTGGATCAGACATGATTGTGCAATGACAGAAGTGAAACTATTCAGAGTACAGGTAGCATGTCTCATGGCTCCTCTTACGCGCCATAAATTTGTACACATGTACAGGTCCCTTTGAAAGCATACCAGCCCAAAGACGCTCACAGGTACCGATGCCGGGGACTGCTGCATATGCAGTTTACGTATACTTACCTTTTTTGGAGTTCTGATGATGAGTATACCGGCATATGATAGCTGTGATTGACGTCGGGGAGAGACCTCCGTCCACATCCGCTGAGCGAGACTGAAAGATACGCTGTAGGGCCGCGTAAGTACACTTAATGATCCTCGTTGAGCAGAGCAGCCGGAGGATGAGACGGAGCCAAGACCGGTTGTCGCGTGATGAGAGCAGAAGCAATTAGCGCGTTTAGCGAGCGCCTACGAGGCCGGCCTGCCAACGAGTTCCCACGCAGAATGAAGGCAGTGAGGAAAAGACTAAGACTGCTGCGACGCCCTCCATTCCCGTATCCCCGACAACGGCTGGCTCTCCCCCAGTCCTCGACCGTGCACGGCCCCCACTGCTACCAGTCTTTCGCTGACCCTTCCGCTCTTTAACCATCGCCCTTCGTAGCACTTTACAACACGCCGTCCTGTCCTACTCGCCTTATCCATGGCCGCTCCCCCAGGATATGGACCCCCGCATGCACACAATCCGTTCGCCGACCAGGCGTCGTCGCCCTATGGAGCACCCTTGCGCCAATACCCAGGAGACAATGACTATGCCAGTCGCAATGCGAGTGCTGTACCGTTAAACAACCCTGCTTATTACGACTCCGCGCCTAGATGTGAGCTCACTCTCTCCGCATACGCCCCGCACCCTCCTCTCCACTTCCTGCTCCGGTACCATTCTTCTGATCTCCGCGTACTGACTACACCATAGCCGCAACGGGTAGCGTCGAGTCGATGGACCCATACGACCGGCCATACAGTGCTTCGGTTAACTCTCGCTTCAGCACTGGTACCGCGGAAGGTCCCTATGGTCCCTTCGCCGACATGCCTGGTGCTGGTGAGCCATACCCTGCATGGACATCTGAGAAGGATATTCCCATGTCTGCCGAGGAGATTGAGGACATCTTCCTTGACCTTGCTCAGAAGTTCGGTTTCCAGAGGGACTCGATGCGTAACATGGTCAGTCTACCGTCAGTTCCGTTCACTGCTGCTTTGCTTGACAGAGGTGCTCTCCCAGTACGATTTCTTGATGCAACTTCTGGACTCGAGGGCATCACGTATGTCACCCAACCAGGCCCTCATCACTATTCACGCCGACTACATCGGCGGCCAACATGCCAACTACCGCAAGTGGTATTTCGCCGCGCAGCTCAACCTTGACGATGCTGTCGGACAGTCGCAAAACCCTGGACTACAACGCTTGCGTAGTGTGAAGAGCAAGGCGCCGGCCCCAAGCGCGAAGCACCTGGATAGCGCTCTCAACCGTTGGCGCAGCGCAATGCACAACATGAGCCAGTATGATCGCCTCCGCCAGATTGCTCTCTGGCTCCTGTGTTGGGCTGAAGCTGGGAATGTCCGGTTCACGCCCGAGTGTCTCGCCTTCCTCTTCAAGTGCGCTGACGACTACTATCGTAGTCCAGAGTGCCAGAACCGTGTCGACCCTGTGCCTGAGGGTCTTTACCTCGAGACTGTCATCAAGCCTCTATACCGCTTCATGCGGGATCAGGGTTACGAGGTCGTTGAGGGCAAGTTCGTGCGGAGGGAGAAGGACCACAATGAGATCATTGGGTATGACGATATCAACCAATTATTCTGGTATCCGGAGGGCATTGCCAAGATCGTCCTGCATGACAGTGTACGTTCAGTCATTCTGGCGGCGAACTGTCCGCTAACGGACTGTTCTGTAGACGCGGTTGGTCGACATTCCGCCGGCCCAGCGGTTCATGAAGCTGGGCAAAGTGAACTGGAACCGGGTCTTTTTCAAGACCTTCTTCGAGAAGCGGTCGCTTATGCACTTGCTCATCAACTTCAACCGGATATGGATCCTGCACATCGCGTTCTATTGGTTCTACACCGCCTACAACTCGCCAAAGGTGTACACCCCACTCAACAAGACCAGTCCGAGCGCCGCTGTGACGTGGTCTG